CAGCAGCCAGCAGCCGCAGTGAGCGGCCGTCCAGAAGCCAGCGACTGATCTGCCTCGCCCGGGAAGAGCACAATGATGGTGCTAACTTGGGCCAGTGAAGCAACGTCCTCCACAACTAGACTGAAGAACAAAATGACAGCGACTTGTCTGTTCCCCTTTCCCCAATTCCCCAGCGCTGTTCCCATCCCCCAATTCCCCAATAAAAATCTTTAAAACAAAACAAAACAAAACAAAACAAAACAAAATAAAAAAATAAAAGGAACATGTTAAAATCTAGAGCGTTTAGGAAGCAGGCGATGGGTGTAGTGGAGAAATACTGAATCTGTATCAGCTGCTGCTCATACACTGCCTGACTACATGAGCTGGACTCTGGGTGGGCACTCACTTTGCTCACACTTCATGGACCCATGCCCTGCCCTGGAATTATCACACATTAACTGACAAGATGATTTAGGGCTCTAGGTTTTCCCCTGTAAGTGACTGTTTCCCTTCATCTTCAGAAAACACACAGTCATCCGCAAGAAACGAAAAATGGATACAGCAAATCTGCAAGTTGAAGGAATTTCTCCACTCTCCTTCCTGACCTTCTCATTTGGTTGCTGCAAATAGAACAGATCAGAAACAGCAATAGGCTTCCTGAATACATTTTGTCCTAAACACAAGTAGAGTGAACTCATAGTTAGACTTCTGGAAGCTATTTAAAAATTTTGATCCCACATGTAGATTGCAGTTACAAATGGTTGAGTTAGCTAGTGGATGGGTGAGGGAAGGGAACTGAGAAGGCTTAGAGGATTATCCTGTGGTGTTTCATATGAGAGAAAGATGCACTTTAGCTTCATTGGGCAAGAGGTCAAACCCTTTACAAAATAGTTGTTCTACTGCCCTACCCCTCTTTTGAATGCATCTTCCATTAGGTAAATCCTAAAGTCTATCCAAGTGAATGCACTGAGTTCAGGAGATGAAACACTGGTGTCCACAAACTGGGCGCCTTATCAGTATCAAGGTAGGACTGGCCACTATTTTGATAGCCAGTCATCAGTCAGCCAAGGGCTAAGGACTCAAATTTTTTCATTCTCTAGCCTGTTCTATCATCCCTACTCTCTTGGTGAACTCCAACTTACCTGTCACCTCTTTTTCAAATTTCTTCCTGAGGCCCTGGGCTAGAGTTAAACACTCCCTCTTTCATGTCCTCACAGAACCTTTTACATAACTCTAACATGTTATCTTTGAAATCTCTGAAGTTATATTTTTGGTTATGGAACTTTCCTCCACTACACTGAATTTATTGCCAGATTCAATGGCTTGGTCACCTTTGTAACGCCAGCACATAGCAAAGTGCCTACTACGAAGTAAGCGCTGATTAAATAATGGTTGAATAATGCATGAATGAATAAGGGATACAATTGGCCTTTCAATTCCCTGTCATCTGTCTGTTCTACGATTGTATTTATTAAGTATTACCGATACTCAGCACTAAGCTTTGTGAAGTAAGGAAAGAGTAAGGAGGGAGGCAAACTCATTCCACAGGATGTTTTTGCTCCCCCTTGGAGATTGCACAACTCTGTAATATCCTCTTCTTTTTTTAAAGAAATGTGGTCACTGACTGCACAGGTATGCTAACTCCTCATCAAGATGAGTCACCTCTTGGTAGGCTGAATTAAGAACATTTGTAAAAACATGATAAGAAAGTACGAACGCAGTTCTGCTCTTATCACTTAATATTACTCTATATATATATAGAGAAACATACAGAAGAACACTGATTTATCCAAGGCACTAGTATACCTTACTTCTTCTTTCCTGAATATTTCTTTTACTGCATTGAGTAAAAATATTTGAAGCCAGGACAGCTCAAGATCAAGTTTACTTATTTGTTTGCTTATTTTAGATGCTGGCTTATGTAAAAGGGTGTGACTGATAAAAATCTCTGGGTTCACCAGGGGAAAATAAAAGTGCATAGGTTGAAAAATCAGTCAAACAGCCCATAAACAAAAAACTTCTGGGTCCAAATGCAAAGGTATTCTTATTTTTGCACTGTTAACTCTTTCTTTTGCCCTTCTGGACCAGAAGATCAAGGTCAAATTCACTAAAGGGAGCAAGATTTCCATACCAAATTTAACATGCCTCTTCCCTGGAGGGGTAGAGTGAAGGGGAGGGGGTATAACAAGCTCTAAAGGAAATTACACACCTGGTGTCAGCCTTGGAGTCCCTCAACCCCTTCTTTTCTTGTGGTTGCCCCACCAGGAAAAAAGTATCCCTAATGGTAGGAAAATCTCCCAGCAGGGCTCTCATGCTATTGCAGTATGCCATGATCTGAACCCGAAGAGCATAGTGAGACATGTGGTGGTTGAACCTGAAAAGTTATCAGGAGATATCATGTTCAGAATGTGAGTCGAACTTGTTCCATCTCTCACTGAAGCTCCAGGATCGACTTTACTGGAAGACTTTTCAAAGAAAACAGAGGACCCCTGTCAGGAAGAAATTTCTGTCTGGGTCAGGTTGCTATGACCTGAAGGCAGAGGCATGGACCTCTTGAAAGCACCTCCTATCCTTCACTCCTAATGATCTTTCCTCTGTGTGTCAGAGGACAGTTTAATTTGGTTTTCTCCAGTCGGACTGTGGCTTATATGAAAACTAACCACCTGACTCATTGTCTGGGTTTCTACATAATGCTGCTGTTTATTGAGTTCAGAGCCAGAGACATCAGCATGTGCAGTTCACATATACTATACTTGCTTCTGACAATATTCAACTATAATGTCTCTCTTGATTTCCCCAATTTCATCCTGTAATAAAAGAAGATAACAGTTCTTCTATTAGAGAGTTGGTTTTAAAAACTCCCCAAGCTAGTACGAGTGTACAAAGTTATAGCAATCTTAAAGCAGAAGAAGGTCATCCAGCTGAGATACTCTTTCTGAAGTTCAGCTTGTTGGGAAACACCCCTCCATGGTTCCGGCTGCTCCTGCACATATTGCTGAGTCTACCAAGAAAGCAAGGCCCTGATGGTTCTTTACCTGGGCCGTTTCTAAGGATTAGGATTGCAGACAGCAATCGTGAGGGATGAAGCAATGTATCCAGGAAAAGGAGTAGACTTGCTATAAAAGAGGCAGGTTCCCCAAGCTCACTGTTACTCATTGTGACAAAACTCCACTGCACGCATCTGGGCTCCTCCATGTTGCCCCCTTAGGACTTGGGAGACCAAGGGGACTGACACAAACATAAAGCTCATACTGCCTGCTCTGTTGTGAGTAATAAAGTTCTTTGTCTCTGATGTAGGGGTCTTGTGTCTTCGGCCAACATCCACAGAGCAGTCACAGAATAACTTGCTACCTTTTAAGTAGGCTAAAATCCCAGACCTTAACAAAATGACAGTTGTATTGCTTGAGCCCTTTCTAATTGGATAGACATTGGATAATCCTGAAGAGCAGTTAATGAGCTATTACTTTTTCCATTTGGTTAATATTTTTTGAATATTGTAGTAAAATGTAATTTTATATCTCAATTATTTATTAAAAGTAGTCCTTTGTCTCCATTATTGCTCAGCAGTAATCCAGAAGCCTGGCCTCCCTCATATCCCATTTATAACTGAATTAGGCAAATGTAAGTCTTTCCTTTTCAGTTACAGATAGGAAAAAAGCCTAGAAATTGTTAACCTGTCATTTCTCTCCCAAATATCGATGCATTAGCCTAATGATTTCCTCATCAAAAAATTAATGAATAATGAAATGATATTTGCAAAAGTAAGCAATACTTTTAACTGTTTAAAGACTTGAGTTTATTTTTCTACAGATTAGGCTAATATAAAACCCTTAAATAGAAACATGGTGGTAGTGTCTGAAAAACCAAGGTAAAGGTGAATTAGATGGGAAGAGTCTTTATTCACCTTGTCTGAATCCTCTAAGTACCTGTGGGTCACTCAGGAGTGGTCAAATGATCCGGAGCAGGTGCAGAAACTAGTTCCATTTAGAAAGTGACCAAACAAAATGTGACCTTGGAAAAGTGCACTTATTTTTAAAACTAAACAGCAGTTAGTTTGAATTGCTTCCTTTCAATTTCTTATTGAACTCCCTTTTTCAGTTCTTTATATTTTCTTTTCTTTTTTTTCCAGTTCTTTATATTTTCAATGGTCCTATCCAGATAGGCTGAGAGCAACAAATTTCAAGTTGAGAATTTTTATTTGCTCAAATGTAAAAGATGACATGAGAGCTTTAGGGAACCTTCTTACTGTACTCATGAGGATCTTCATTCCGTCAGCCATGGCTGGTTTCCTGAGGAGGAAGGCATTCAGCATCATGTCCCACAGTTCCGCCTTTTCTAGCTGAATAGACACGAATGCCTCCGGAGCCCTGATAAGTGAACAGAGACATCTGAGCCCAAGACAAGTGGGCATATGACAAGAGGACAACTTGAGAGCTCTCTGGAGGACAGGAACACCTGAGGCCATGTACTGGGCACTGCAGAGGGAGAGCAGGTGCCTATCACCATGGTTCTCATCTGCCTCAAGTGTTTCTGACTATATTCACTGGGGATGCTGATGTGTCACCATTCTCCTTGGGGACCCCCATGTGCCTACGCCATGCATTAGCAGTCCCAGACTTTATAGCCTGGCCCAGTGTTTGTACTACCCAGGTCCCTTTATACCCTCCTGGCCTGAATGTAGGGGTACCTGGATTGAAGTGGCCTCCCAAGGGTCCACTCGACCAGACAGACACATTGATTTTAAGTCTCCCATCCACACATTGAGAATGTCGACTTAGTGTGCTTGAACTCTGGCCACGTGTCAAATGAATGGCACCCTGAGTAGTACAGTAGCTTTGCCTGTTATGTTTTTCATTCTAAATTTGCCAGGATTATATTAGGGTGTCATTGGCATGCCCCAATAAAATACTCAGAGTATTCATAATTATTGCAGAATCTCTCTTACTTTGAGAAGAGATCAAGAGATCAAGACATAATAGGGCATTCCTGATTTATAGATATAGTGGCCATGTCTCTCTGACAACACACTATCCTATTATTATAAGCAATGGCAAAACCCTTGTTAGAATAGTGAGGGTGGTCCTGTGCTTCTCTGCTTAAGATAAACATGAAAAATTTGGAGAGGCCCATATTTTTCCTTCTTGTGTTATACCTTCTTTGGAGTTTGAAAAATATAGAGAAAGGGAAGAACAAGGGGAGGAAGAGGAAAAAAAGGGAAAGGAGGAAAGGCAAGAAGAGAAAAGAAAAGAGGTTGAAATTAGGAAATGTTGATTCTCCTTTATAAACTGGAGCATAGGCCGGCCGAGTGGCTCAGTTGGTTAACAGCTCGCTCAAGAATTTGAGCTCTGAGCAACAGCGGTACGAGTCGTGGCCCGAGCTGAGCAGCCGATAAGCTGCCAACAGGTAGCAGGATGGCTCAGCTAAAAAAAAAAAAAATCTATAAACTGGAGCATAATGGAAGGAGTTGAGCCTTCCCAGTGTTCATACAAGGTCTTCATACAAGGTCCTAAAAATTAAACACAGGCTGGTCACTCTGGGAGTTTAGGCATCCTTCAGTTCCATAATACTCTGTTGTTAACTGACTTAAAAGAGGACACTTTTGTTATTGCAACCCTTTCCACCCCCTGATGCAGTACCTTTTGGTAACCTGGGATCTTTCTGAAGGGTGAGTAAGGGTATCTGGGCTTTTGGAGTTGGGGCTAACAGCAAGTTCTCTATGCCATTCATAATTCTAGAACTTCTTCTGGTTGGACCCATTCCACCATGATTTCTCAGGTCTGAACTTATTTCCTAAACTATTTCAAAGGAAAGTGAATTAAATGTGTTGGATTTGTAAGTCCTGTGGTACTGGCTATAAAATGACCTCTCAGCCACAACTGACCCCAAATGGGAAATGACTGGATACATGGGGAGAGTGGTGGGAATGGAAAGAGGGGAGGGGAGGAGAGCACAAAGAGTAAGGGAGAGTTGGGAAGAGAGATACCGTTTTACACAATGAAGGGGTGAGGCATTAAGTGTAACTATTTCCAGAATAGAGTGCAATTGTCTAAAGGGCTCTGAAAAAAATTCCCCATTCTACAAGGTGGCTAGCTGGAGTGCTCATTTAAAGAGGCCTCTCAAGAAATATTGCTGATGGACTTCATGGCTGCAAGATCTAAAAATTTGTTTCAGGGTGCTCATTCTGGTGTAGCCTGACCAGATGGAGGTGGGCTATATATGCTGCCATGTACAATGTAATGATGAAGGAGGGAGAGGAAAAGGGAAGGTGGAGGAGAGGAGAAGGAGGATGGAGAAGAATAAAAAAAGGGAAATCCATATTTTCCAATATTCCTATTAGTTATGGAGCTACAGGGTATGATGGATGGAAATCTTTTACATTTTTCTAAAATGCTAACTAAAAGAAAAATATTAAGGCTTTAAAAAAAAAACAAAGACCACTCTTTTTCAAAGAAAAAAATAAGGAGTTCTCTATATCTGAATTACTGAAGGAGAATGATGCAAAAGAAAAAAATTCTGGGTAGAAAGTTGCAAGTTTCCATCCTGACTTTTTCTGAAGACCCTTGTCTCCTGGAAATAGAGCATACCAGTTCAGAAGGCTCAAGACATCTTAGAAAGGCCGTGAGTGAGCTAAGAGGGAAGAAAACACAAGGTCTGCAATCAGATCCCATTGCTGACAGTCAGCTGGTGATCTTGGCTCTGTTCCTTAATCTTTTTGCTCACCGAGAAAAAGGGGATGATGTCCCCCATCTCATGCGGCTGTTGAGAGGATTCCATGAGCCCATGTATATCCCATCACTTAGCTCGCTGCCTTGCCTGGACCATAGAAGATGCTGAACTGAACTGTTAACTCCCTGACATCCTCACCTGTTTTCAACATCCCAGCCATGCCCTTTATTTATTTCTATCCTTAATTGCTTCCTATTTTCCAGCCTCTTCCTACAAATACATTCACATCTATTTTATTCTTAATTTTCCTACCCTCTCAAGCTTCCTCCTCAACTCTGACCTAACTTCTTAACTATTATGGACTAAATGTTTGTGTCTCCCTCTAATTTCTTATGTTGAGGCCCTGCCTCCTAACATGATGGTATTTGAAGGTGGAGTGTTTGGGAGGTAATTAGGGTAAGATAAGGTCATAAGGGTGGGGCCCTAACCTGGTGCCCTTATAAAAGGAGGAAGAGACAGAGCTTCCTTTCTCTCTGCAGTGTAAGGACACAGTGAGAATGCAGCCATCCTCAAGCACAGAAGAGCGCTCTGCCAGAAACTGACCATGCAAACTGAGCATGGGCACCTTGATCTTGGACTTCTAGCCTCCAGAACTATGAGAAAATAAATTTTTGTTGCTCAGGCCACCCAGTCTATGGCATTTTGTTATGGCAGCCCGAGCAGACGAATACAGGAGCAGTAAATAGACAGTGCTTCTATATTTCTATCCCCTTCTCATTCCTTAACTCTTGCAGTCTGGCTTCACTCCACCCCCATTAAAACTGCTCTGTCAGAGTCAGCAACGAGCATTTGAGAATGTCGAATGTCCTCTTTTTAATCCCTACTCTCTGGCTCTTCCCTCTACATTTAACTCTATCAACTTTTCAACTTCTTATTCTCTCTTCTTCTTTTAAAAATGATAGCTTTATTGAGGTACAATTGACATTCAATTAACAGCACAACTTTTTTGTTTAAAGTGTACAATTATGTAAGTTTTGGTGTATGTATACAACTATGAAACCAATACTGCAATAAAAATAATGACTATAGCCATCCTTCCCACCCAGCCCCCCTCAAGCAACCACTGTTCTGCTTTCTTCAATTATAGATTAAAATTTCTAGAATTTTATAGAAATAGAGTCTTGCAGTATTTATTCTTTTTTTGTCTGGCTTCATCCATATTTTGTATATATCAATAGTTCATATCTTGGTATTGCTGAGTAGTTTTCCATTGTATGGATATACTTCAATTTGTTTATCCATTCATCTGGTGATGGATATTTGGATTCTTTCCAGTTCTTGGCTATTTTAAATAAAGCTGCTATAAACATTTGTGTATGTCTTTGTATGGACATGTGCTTTCATTCTCTTGGGTAAATACCTAGGAGTGGAATGGCTGGATAATATGGTAAGCGTATGTTTAACTTCATAAAAAACTGCCAAACTGTTTTCCAAGGTGACTGACCAATTTGCGTTTCCATCAGCAGTGTGTGAGGGTTCCATGTCCTCCACATCCTTGCCAATATTTGGAATGGCCAGGTTTTTACATTGTAACTATTCAAATGGCCGTGCAGTGGTTTCTCACTGGGGTTTTAATTTGCATTTCTGTAATGACTAATGGTGTTAAACATCTTTTTATGTGCTTCTTTGTCATCTGTACGCATTTCTTAATGACTCATTTCTCCCTGAAACACTCCCCCTCCTTTGGCTTTGGTAGCAGTACACAGTTTTCTTCTCTATTTTGGTCTCTTTCCTTCCTTCTTCCCTTCCCTCCCTTCCTCTTGTTCTCTTTCACTGTTCCATCATTTATTCCTCTTTATTATTCATCAGCTTTCTTCTTGTCCCACACTTGCAGGAAAGCAAATAAGCACACACATATTATTCACATATATATTAATATATATAGTCACATACTCATATATTCATATAATTTTTTTTTTACACTAATGCCTCTCTACCCTTCCCAGTGCTGCAGGTGTTTCCAAGCTATTACTCTTAATACTTTCCCATGCCTGCCCTGTGCTCCTATCCAGTGACTTTCAACATCTGTTCCCTGGATGGATCTCAGGGAGTGACTCATAAGCCTCTCAACCTCCATTTCAACCAGAACAACACCACTTAATTGGTTTAATTATTGGTAGTCGTTATAAGATTAAGTGAATTGAATAAAGGAATCTATACGTCAACTATGAATGAAAACCACAAATAATGGTCAAGCTGGGTTCCTTTTTTCGAGGCCCTTTGTCCTTTCTCGTTCCCATACCTGAGTACCTACAGCATCTTCTTTTCACTCAGAATGGTCACATGACCACTTCTGCCCGTCGAAAAAACTCATCCTTCAGGTTTCCCAAAATGCTCCTGCTCTGTGCCGCCTTCCTGGTTCCTAGATGTGACCTCTATTTTCTTTAAATTTCTTCTAAGCTCACTGGCGCCTCCTTTAAGCCTTGTATTTGACTCCTTTGGGGCTTGTTCCTCTTCCCCACACTGGCTGAAAGTTCCTCAGGAGCATGAATGGTACCTCAGTATCACCTGATGACCTCAACTTATTGTAGGTGCTGAATTAAGAATGTGGGGTTGAATATTTTATTTTATTTTATTATTTATTTATTTTTTTTTAAAGATTTTTTTATTGGGGAATTGGGGGGATGGGAACAGTGCTGGGGAATTGGGGAAAGGGGAACAGACAAGTTGCTGTCATTTT